GAGTTACTCCGTGCTGCCTGATCTAGTGCGGAGTTACTCCGTGCTGCCTGATCTAGTGTGGAGTTACTCCGTGCTGCCTGATCTAGTGCGGAGCTGCACACCGTGCTGTCTGAGGCAGTGCGGAGTTACTCCGTGCTGCCTGATCTAGTGTGGAGTTACTCCGTGCTGCCTGAGGGAGTGCGGAGTTACTCCGTGCTGCCTGATCTAGTGCGGAGTTACTCCGTGCTGCCTGATCGAGTGCGGAGCTGCACCGTGCTGTCTGAGGGAGCGCGGAGTTACTCCGTGCTGCCTGAGCGGATCCTGTCTCCCGGGGGTGTGAGGTAGTGGGGAGTGTGTCTAACAGCTGTGCCGGGTGGCGTGCTGACGTCAGGGGCCTGTGCGGACGGACGGACGCTCCGCTCCCGCCGCTGGAGTTTGCAGCTGAAAGTTTGTCGCGGCCGCTCGATGTGAAGGAATGTGAGGCAGCGAGAGCAGCACAAGGAGAGGCACTGGGCCCTGGGGCTCCCTGTGAGTGAGCGGGGTGAGGGCCTGACGGATAGACAGCGGGATTTCCACCGGCTCCGGGAGGGAAGGCTGTGGAGGAGATGGGGATGGTTTGTGGGGTGTAGTGCTGCTGAAAGGCGCTGTCCAAGGCTGATCGCCGAGCAGGCCCGACCGGGACCGGGGCATCCCGGCCCGAGAGAGCCCTCTCCACAGACTGGGAGCAGGCAGCTCCCTTCTGGCGCCCGGCCTCTCCCCCACCTCGCGGTATTCGGGAGGAGGTTCCGCCCCAACTCTCCTGCAAGAACCCCCCACGCCCCGTCTGGACAGCGAGCGGTTCTGGAATCAACATGTCGGAACCTCGGGGCAGGGAGGTTGAGGCATTTCCAATTCTGTCACTCCCTCCACGGCTCCTCCAACCGATCCGCCAGCTCTATCCCCCAATCTCTAACATTTCCCTACCCCTGCTGTGACCCCCAATCCCCGACCTGCCCCCGTGACCCGCAATCCATAACTCCCCCCGTGACCCCCAATATCCATAACTCCCCCTGTGAGCCCCCCCAGTCCCCGACTCCCCCGCTGTGACCCCCCAATCCCCAAACCCCGACTCCCCCGCCGTGACCCCCCAATCCCCGACA